TTTCCCTTTTTTTTTTTTTTTTGTTCTTTAATAAACAACTTTCGTCGCTGCATGAAAAAAAAGCTTAAAATCACTGCGCTGGAATGAGGTGGATGCTTATTTTCGTGGCGTGGTGGTGTGTTGGGTTTGGGTTGGGTTTTCTTGCCCCCCTCCCCCTTCTTGTAAACACAACTTGCATCATCAGTACAATAAAACCTCAATGCAACGGGATTTAGTTGTTTGTTTGTGGTCCTTTTGTGTGCATGTGTGTTTTTTGACACCCCTTTCACCAGGTTTGCAATGCAGCAAAACCTTACCCCACAGATATTCAGGAGGGGTTTATTTGTGATGTTCTTTGTGTGCTTGTCTTTTAACATGGCTTTCATCTTAAATGGAAAAAGAATGCCCCACCTTACCAGAGATATTTGAAGGTTGTTTATTTTATGGTCCTCTGTAATTTTATGACTATAAAAGAAAAAAGACCAAGTCCTAATTTGCCCTTAAGCTCTCTTATACCACACCAGCAATGTCAAAACCTCTTCAGTGGGGTATTTACAGGTGTAATTTATACCAGTGCAGCGTAAAGGTGCTTTAATATAAATGAGAAGAGGGCTGAAAATCTTTTGTCTGTACAGATAATTTTGTATCTGATGAAAACAAGCAATATAAGGACCTGGAGTGATTTGCATGGTGTTTTTTTTTTTTAAAAAAAAAAACCAAAAAACACACAAAACCACACCACAAAAACCCAACCTAACAAAAAAAAAAAAACCCACCCCACCTCAGGGCTGGATCCTTAGTTGTTTGCTGTAAGCTGGTACGGCACCTCTGATGCTTTCAGGTGAAGGCCACGCGTAAAGGTGAAGGCTGGGCGTAAACTGGCACGTGCTGGGAGTGTGCCAGTTTGTGCCAGGTAAGACCTTCTCTACACTGCCTCAGTGTGTACCTCTGCAGGATGTGGCCCTGTGGCAGCAGCGAGGAGAAGGTTGTCAGTGGGTTTACCTCTGAATTTACACCCAAGTAAAATATCCGATGGAACAACTCCATAGGCATGGCTGCATTTTCCATCGCGCTGTCCTTCTGCTGGCATTTACACTGTGCGTGGCGCGGCGGGCACATCCAGTGTACGTCCATCCCGTGCGCTGCTCTGGCTTTTTCCTGCTGCCAGAGCAGCGCACGGGAGCCTGGGTGCAAACCACAGGGAGGTCCCATGGAAGCACGGTGGTTTTACGCCGCTCTGAGCGAGAAAAGATTTGGGATGGGTTCGTGCAAAGTAAACGGTGGTCAGATCGGATGCATCCTACACCTTTGTTGCCCTCGCATGCGACTGCCTTAGCTGGACCAAGTTCTTGAAGCCTTCTCGTGTTAGTTTTGATGGATTTGTTACCCCTGATGCGGGGGTAAGTGGAGAGGAGAATGCGGCTGTGCATCCAAATCTCCCCCTGATTCTACCCCCCCTACCCCTCCCCAGTTTGGCAATGTCTAGACTCGATTTATTTATTTGTTTTTAGCCAGAGCTAGCTGCTCTGCGGATTAATTCCAGTTAGATAACTGGTCTGGGTGCCCGAGGCTCGACAGTCCTCAAGGGTTTGTTCCTGTATGTTAACATTTGTGGCTTACTAGGGTAATTTGCAAACACATTTACTTTGAGTCAATTGGCAGTCAGTTAACTGAAGTTAAAAAGGGGTGGGGGGAGGAAATAATCATACAAGCCTCCTTTACAAAATGCTTTGGGATCTGTGTTATTGGCAAAAAACAGAATAATAGAAGCTAGGTAGTGGAAACACAACAAGAAAGGGCTTAATTCTCTCTGTAATATAAAAATCTAACTGGCAGGAGTCTGCCAGGGATCAATTAGCTGATGTCTGCACACTGCCTTAAAGAGTAGAACACAACAGCAAAGTTATATATATTATTATAGTTTCTACAGGTCCTTTTCTCCTCTTAGTTTTACATTTTTAACACCACCCACTAAGCAGTTCTCTCCCCTTCTAATAATCCACCGAGTAAAGCGGTTTGTTGCGTGTTGTTTTCAAATTTCAGTTATGCACGCAGAAAGCCTTTCATTAAAAAAAAAAAAAAAACAAAAAAACAACCAAAACATAGAGGGCGAATTTCATTTGAAAAAAGCACATAGGACTGTGCTACTCATCGGGCCAGGACATACGGGGCCGCATCCTGATCTGGCTGCGCTCTGTCAGAAAGGGAGCGACGTCGAAGGCGGCTCACGCCCCTCTTTAGTTGTCAGGGTTGGGGTTGAGATGGGCTGGGAGCCTTGGCACTAGGTGGGTAAATCAAATTTAAGCCCAGCCTGATTTTAGCTGATGTAAATCAGCGCAGCTCTCTGGGAAGTTGGTGGGGTTACCTGGATTTATACCGCTGATGGCTTGGCCCGTTGTCTGCACCAATTTAGAGCTGCTAGAGATCTGGGCCACTGAACCTGCTGGGCTGCTGGTCTTGATGGAGTTGGTCTAATTTCCTGTGGGGTTATTTTCTCCAGTTTTTAAGCACAGGATCCCCCATCTGTCTGTCTCTGCAAAGCTGGCTTTCCTGTCTGCAGGCCTGCACGGAGACCCTCCCTCCTCCTCCTCCTCCTCCCCCTGCTTCTCACACCATCGACTGCACCATGCGTCCTTTTGTCCGTTTCTAGATCCTCCCTCCCCCTCTCGCCGTGCTCTCTCCTTCCCCATCTCCCTTTTGCCGTTTTGGGGTGGCTCTCCTTTGCCTCCGTACCCCTAATTCTCCTCCTCCCTCACAGGGATCGCAACGGGCCTCTCCCTCAATTTCCATCACCTTTCCTCCCTCCCTAACTCCCTCCCACCCTCTCCAGCTCGTGTAACTCGCTTAGTTTGCCCTCATTCATGTGTATTCCTTGCCACCGTTTCCTTCCATCTGTCCCCAGCATGGAGCCCCCGTCCTTTGTCACCGCTCTGCTTGCCTGACCCTCCGTGTCGCCTCCTTGATTGTTCCCCGTCGTGCTGGGCTCGGATCCCTCTCCCCCCACACGCAGTCATTGTCCCGTGGCTTAGAAAAATGCCGAACCCCAGCCCAGCCCTGACAAACGCCTACCTGAGGTCCTTTTGCAAACGGGAGCGAGCCTGGCGCTCCCGGGAGGCAGAACGTGGGTCACTGAGGAATTCAGCAAACGCTCCTCCAGCCTGGGGTGATGCGCGGGAGTCATTTTCAGTGCGGATGCTTGCCGCTAACACCCCTTTTCTTTCCATGCGACGCTCCGGTGATATCCCTGGGGAAATGGTGGCATCTCGGTTAATCTTCCTAAGATGGAATCTCCATCTTTGGAGCGAGCAGCATAGGAGCCGAGCGGGGAAATGTCTGCCAGGGATGGGTCAGGGAGAGCAGACCCTGCCCTGGGGCTGCAGGAGGGCAGAGGTGACCCCTTGATGGTTTTCTCCCGCCCTCCACAGGCTCCTTGGGATGAACCTTTAGTCTGTGATTTTGTCTGCGTGCTTTTATTCTCCAGTTGCGTCGTGCCAAGCACCGTAAAGTCCCGTTCTTTGAGTTTCCAAAGTACTAATAACACAACACTGTAGATGACCGCTGGTCCACATCAACTGTTAAGAAACTTTGCTAAACAAAGCATTGCAAATACACTTCAGGGTGCAAAATCAGCAGGGAGTAACACGTGAGCTACATTGGACTTGGCAGGGGGTGTATTTGGTTTGGATTTTGGGGATTTGCCCAGCTCCTTCTCTGGGTCAGATCTAGCATTTCCATTCCGCAGGAATGTGGAATTAGTGGCTTAGAGATGGGTTAAATGCAGCAGCATCGCAATGCTGAGTATTATAGGAAGTTTTGCACTAACAGAGCGAGAGACAGCCATTCTTCCCATTCCACAAACGGGGGACTGAGGCTCAGAGAGCTGAAGTAGCTCTGAGGAGTTAAAAGTCGCGTCGGGAGCCGACAGCGAAGTCAGGATTTACCGGCACGTGTCCTCCACCAGCACCAAGACCCTCTGACGGGCGGTGGGGTTTCGAAGCTATGCTGGGAGGTTTTGTGTTCGCACAGTCTCCCGCAGTTTGACGAGGCTGCACCCCCAGTGCCCATGCAACGTTACGAGATGCGAGTTGTGACCCATCAGGCTGAGCATGCTTCGTGCCGCTCTAACTATTGGTTGTACCGTGCGCAGCGCCTGCCACCGCTGCGAGCGCGGGGAATTATTCTTGTTGGCTGCGGTGGCACGAGGCTCTGTTTTTATTACTAAAGGTGGTGGGGGGGTTCGATTCTTCTTAATGATACGTGGTAGTGGGATCGTTACGTTCCTGTAAATACCCTGGTGTCGCAAGTCTGTGTCTCGTGAGATGAGCCGCAGATAAGTGGCAGCACTAAGTGAGTGGCAGCCCTGAACTCCCAGCTGGGAAAGATGTTGTTATTTATTAGGATCGGTATAAATAATAATGTTCCAGCCCACCAGCTAAGGAATCTTAATTTCTTGGTTGCAGAAGCATCGTTCGCAGGTCATCTTGCGTTAAAGTATGATGTCAGTGTAGTATGTTGAGAAAAATTTGCTGGTATCAGGTGGTCAGAGGAGAGAAGAGATGGGCTCCTTTTGGGGTGGGGAGGAGGTGGGGGATTTCACAGAGGGTCCAGTGCCATATCCCGATCCTCTTTTTCCATGAGCCCGGAGTCAGACACCTGAATTCTTGGGAAACCAGGGCAAAAAGCTCACCTCACTCCATCTGCTCTAGTAGAAACGCGGTGCCCTGCAGAATCGCATTTTTAAGTTCTTCTTAGAGACCTGAACTTAGAGCAAACCTCCCCTCAGAGGAAGCCACAGTCTGCGGGGGAACTTGGTGCCAGGCTTTGAAAATGCCTTCAGGCACTGAGTGAGGCTTTTGGAGAGAGGGGTCAGAGGGACAGCAGCAGGGAGGGTTTCCAGAAGGGGTTTAGAAAACTGTGCCACATCTGTAAAAACATTTCGTTGCTTGATGGCATCCTAGTGTCATCTAGGAACCTGGAGTCGCACAGTTGGCTCTAAATCCCTCTAAAAAACGATTTGGAAGCCAAAACATGCTGAAAAGTCTCTTGCCTTTTTTGGAAAAGCAGAAAGATGTTTTCTGAGCTGTAAGGAGCAGGGGGATAGGCTTGGTGGGCTCTAGGGAGGTGGATATTGATAGACAAAAGCACCGGAATGGCGAGCAACCCCAGGAGAGGGTCCGAGCGCCCGGGCGGCTGTGGTGGGGAGGGCTGCGGACATCACTGCTTGATGCACCAGCGGGAGAGCGGAGGATGAAGCACAGCCCTGGGCTGGATGGCCTCCCCTCCCTGGGCAGCCATGGCCCCGCCATCGCTGCCGCTCCTGGTGAGCACCAGGAGCCAGGCCTCGTGCACAGCCTGCAGTGGGGCTCCTCATGGACACAGGAGGGCAGCCCTGCCCCATTTCTCACTGGTTTGACCCCAAAGCAAATACCGGCATCCTGCTACCCCCCGGCCTCCTAGCAGGGCCAACGTTTGGGGTCCCACCGTGTCTGAGGTGGGGAGCCCAAATCGCTGCATGTCTGCTATCTCCCCTCAAACTTGGCCCCTCAAAAGTGACCTGCGTCTGGTGAATTGCACCGGGTTCACCCCCAAAAGTTCCACAGTAGGACAGAAGTCCTCGTGGAGGGCTCCGCTCTCTTGAGTTATGGCATACGGCTCTCCCCTCCTGCTCCCCGTGAGCTGGTGCGGGGTGGCAAAGGGGTTCCATGTCGACCATGCCTGCCCACGGACTCAGTGTCCCCTTGCTTTCTCCTGTCATCCTCAGCCTCTTGTGGTGCCATGTGTCAGTCGAATTCTTCCTCTCCCGAGAGCCACTCTGAGGCGAGGGGAGCCAGGGTGGCCATCTTCTCTGAGGGGCAACATGGTGGGCTTGGCCCTCAGTGGGGAGAGGCTTCCTCACAGGGACCGCTGGCCCATGGGGAGGGCTCGAATCCCCTCCACCCCAGCTCCCTGGTGCGTGGGGGTGTGAGAAGGGGAGATCTCTGGGGGGTGATTGCTGAGGGGTGGATGATTTCAGAGGGGAGGCAGCTGAGGAGGATTGTGTGGTGGGGGGCAGCACACAAAATGGCGACACCCTCTTGAGGGTGAGGGAGTGGGGAGTTCCTGAGGGAAGAGCTCTCTGGGGGTGGTGAGGGGGAAACGGTCCACTGGTATGTCTCCTGTCAGGGTTAGGCGGGGGGAAGAATGGGCCTTTCCCTCGTTTTAGGTTCCTGGGGAGTGGCTGCTGTGTGGTGCAGGCCCTGCTGAAAACATGGCAGCTCAGCCCGGTTTCCTGAGGAGAGGGGAGGGCGGCGGGACAGCCTCTCTAACTTCCATGCCTTGTTTTCTCTCTCTTCCCCAAGGCTGCAAGATCAAAGCCCTGCGGGCAAAGACCAACACCTACATCAAGACTCCAGTGCGGGGTGAGGAGCCGGTCTTCATGGTGACGGGACGGCGGGAGGACGTGGCCATGGCCCGGCGGGAGATCATCTCCGCTGCCGAGCACTTCTCCATGATCAGGGCCTCCCGCAACAAGGCTGGCACCACTTTCGGCAGCGCTCCCACCTTGCCTGGGCAGGTCACCATCCGGGTGCGTGTCCCCTACCGCGTGGTGGGCTTGGTGGTGGGTCCCAAGGGGGCCACCATCAAGCGCATCCAGCAGCAAACCAACACCTACATCATCACGCCCAGCCGGGACCGGGACCCCGTCTTCGAAATCACCGGCGCGCCGGGCAACGTTGAGCGCGCCCGGGAGGAGATCGAGACCCACATCGCGGTGAGGACGGGCAAGATCCTGGAGTACAACAACGAGAACGACTTCCTCTCCAGCAGCCCCGACTCCGGCATGGAATCGCTACTCAGAGGCCTGGCGGGTCCATACGCCGGCGCCGGGTTGCAAGCCCCTCTCCACCTTCCGGCAGAACAGCCTGGGGTGCATCGGCGACTGCTCCGTCGACCCCGTCTATGAGACCCCCCGGCTGAACGACCAAAACGACTTCAATTACGGTTACCTCTTCCCCAACTATGGCGTGAACAAGCAAGATCTGTATTACGGGGTGCCGGAGTCAGGTGCCCCGATGTGGGCTGGGCAGGAGAACACCAACCCCGTCTCGGTGCTCTTCTCGAAGCAGCAGCGGTCCAGCAGTACCGGTGCCATCCACCCAAATTCGCATCGCTCCCCGTCCTCCTCCATCCAAGAGCCCAATCTCTCCGGTCTCCCCAGGCGGTCGCAGGGGGAACCGCTCCAAGGGTTTTCCAAGCTGGGGACCACTACCGCTGCCCGGACGTCTGTCTCCAGCAGCCGCGAGTGCATGGTGTGTTTCGAAAGCGAAGTTACGGCAGCTAGAATATTTTCCTAAAGAGACAGGGAAGGGCATTGGGGTGGGGGGGTGGGGGTAGGAAGGGAACGGGGGGGGCCAGGAAAGAAAAATGATGCTGATGCTGATAATAATAATAATAATGATAATGATAATAATAATAATAATAATAATGACATCTGAAGAACAAACAAATGAATGAAAGAATAAATTAATTTAAAGAAGAAGAAGAAGAAGAAAAAAAAAAGAAATTATTTTACAAGCAATGTATGTTATTTTTTAAAAAAAGAAAGTGAATAATAAAATTAAAATGAATAGCAAAGCCAGAAATTTTGAAGGGCGAACGATGCTCCAGCCTGCAATGTCTTTTTTAAAACAAGTACTCTGAACGCACACTCGGATCTCGCAAGCAAAGCGGTTTAGTTCAGTTTTTTTTGGTGGTGAGATTGGGACTTCTCTGCATTGACCAAGCCAGGCCATCTCGATCGGACGGGGAAGGGAGCAGGGACGCGGGGAGGGCCCTGCCAGCCTTTCTTCTCCAGCCACGTTCAATCTTCACCTTGGTCTGAAGCCCCTACTCTCCTCCCCCCCAGGGATGTCAGCCCAACTGGGAGCTCAGAAAGAAACAAATAGAAAGAAAGGAAAACGGATGACGGGGATTTAGAAAAACAAGAAAGAAACCATCAACCTCTGGGAACCTGTTAGAACGAGGGCACAACTGTATTACCTCAAAGATTTAAACAAAAAAAAAAAACCACAGCAGCTAAAGAACTTTTATTGTTTTCCTTTTTTTCTAAAAAAACAAACAAACAAAAAAAAAACACAAAAAAAAAAAGAAAATCAAAAGAAGAAGATGAAGAAATAAAAATGACGCCGGTGAAACTGAAGAAGGTTTGGAAGAACCTATTGGAATCACACTGGGCGATTAGCATTTATTTTATTATTCTGAGCCACCGTGGAGTCTGGAACTTTGTTCTTTTTTCCTTATCCGAGCAGGGATTTGTTCATCAGACGAATCAGGAGTCACTAACAGGGTATTTCAAAAGCAGTCCTGAGTTCCCATCCATGGGGGGAGTGTACCGACTTCCGCGTTTCCGTAGTTCACTCTTTATCCTTTTTTCCAAGCGATGCCAGCTGCAGCAACACACGCCACGCATGCGCACGCGCACACACACACGCACACACATGACATTGTGCTTTTCTTTTCTTAGCAAAATATATATATCGCACCAAAACCTAAGAAAGACGATCATGCAATACAGGCAATGAGCCCATACGAAACCAACGTGCATCCCAACAGAAAGCAAAAAAAAAACCCCGAGTTTATATATATAATTTTGTTGTCGTCGTTTTTAAACTGGACCAAAACTTTTGTTACCCAAAACCGAGTGGGGGGAAAAAAAAAAAAAGAAGAAAAAGTATTTCTTTATGGACCAAAACCTCTTCAGCTGTCCTTTACCTGGATCTTCCTGAGGTTGGCCACTTTTATATATTATATTTTTTTCAGAACGAAACAAAACAAAACAAAAAAAATTGCCTTGTTGAACATCCTTTAATCATTTCAAGACTCCTGGTTTTGTTAAATCAGATACTTTTTAAACCATTGGGAAGTGGGAGAGGATGGGCTTCGAGTCTGGCTTCTGTGCCAACGCACACAAGATGCAAGCCAGCGTCTTAACATCGTCAGGTTTGTTCGCCCAGCCTCTGGATGCCAAAATGCTGTGATGGTAAAGATGTGTGTTGGATTAACCTATCAAGTACCAGTATACCTGTCTATAAATATATGTGTATATATATATATAGGCACTTCACTCATCGAGCACCTATATATATATATATGTGTATATACAATTATATATAGAGAATTTTTCTCCCACCACCACCGCTTCCCCGTTTCCTACCCCTCGACTTCTGCTCACAGATCCTGGACCCTGATTTAGAACTGAACCCACAAGTTTCACAACTTGGCAGAGACAGTTCTACAGCAACAACGAAAAAAAAGAAAAGGCAAAAAAAAAAAAATCGCCTGAGATTTTTTTTTTTTTCCCCTTCAGTTACAGGAGACTTTATTTTCATCGTAATAATATTCCTGGGAACATCCCCTCTTCTGCTCGTTTTGCTGCCGCTTTGCTCCCGGTTGCTGCCTCTGCCCCGGTGTGGTCTGCTCGAGCCATCCTCGGCCACCGGAGGAGAGGCTGAGCTTGCCACTCTCGGGGCAGGCTGCTCCGGTGCTCGGCATCGATAAAGATCCACTTTTCCATCTTCAGATATGGGGTGGAGGGGCGTGAAATGATGCGCCTCCACCATTTTGCATCGACGGTAAAATATTACGTAGGGGCAAGAGGTAGATGGAGGGGTGGACGACGTTCCTAGGCTCTGTAGTGGATGCTGATGTTTTGGAAAAAGTTAAAAAATAATAATAATGCTGTGCTAAAGGGACACTGTCAGGTCGAATTTGTACTCACCTCCTCCCCAAAGCTTTAAGAAATCTCCGGCCGCTCGGTTCCCCCGGCCCCGTGGTGTGCACAGCCGTTGGCACCGGGACTGGATCGGGATGTGAGCGCTTCCCGGGGGAAGGCGCCGCGGTGTGGACCCGCCGGTGTGGGTGCCGCGGGGCGACGGCGGGCTGGGGGTGCTGGCCAGCCCTGCTCCGGCCGAACTCCCAAAGCCTCCCCGGGCCGGTGTTGTCCCAAGGCACAGGTGTGAAAGCCATCTACCCCCCACCCCCACCCTTCATGGGGAAACATGGCCTCGGCAAAGGCTTCAGCGCCCCGGCCAGCTCTGGCCACATCCTTTGTAAAACTGGCCCAGTTCTCGTTCAAAATCTGGCTTCCGTTTGGTCCCAGTAAAAGAAGGGGAAGGGAGAGGGGGAACATTTCTGTTCTCCGGGCAGTAACCTCTCCCCTCCACCACCTCCTCCTCCGTCGTGTCCCGTCCTTCCCCAACCCCGCGTTGTATTTTATCCGTTCCTTGTGCAAAATTCTCCCGCTGATGTCGAGAGAGTGGTTGGGGCAAGAGCTGGTGGGGGGTACGGGGTGGGGAGGGGTGGG